CCGCGAGCTGTGCAAGAGGTGTGCCGAAGTGAGCGGGGCGACGCTGTAAAGCTTCATTCTGGTGCCGCAAATGCAGCTACTTGCGGGGCACGATCCGCGTGGGGGGCGCGCCGCTATGCGAATCTCGTCTCGGGGGGCGTGGGTGGAACTCCCTGCGGGGCGCGATCCCTGAGAGGGGTATGCCGACAAGGGCCGGGGAACGCTAGCCAAGACTGTCTCTCTGGGGCCGCAGTTGGAGTTTCCGGAGGGGCGCAACCCCTGCGACAATATGTGTCCTCCGATACCGAGCATGATAGATTGCAGCTAGAGCTTGCTAGAGCCAAAGCGCGCGAAGCCCGCGCGCGTGGTTGTAGTATATAGAAGTGTGTATACATGAATGCAGCGACTCCTGGACGCGCGTGGCTTCTGGCTTCAAGCTCCCATTCGCTGGCCGCCCCCGCGCGACCGAGCCTCCCTCCTGCGCCGCCCTTGGATGCCCGCCTCGCTCCTGGCGGCGGCGGCGGCGCCCTCTTGCGACGGGCGGGCGCGGCCGCCCCTCCCAGTCGCGGCCGAGGGCTCCCCTGGCGGCCCCGCGGATGGCGATTCAGTCCAGGCCGCGAACGCGAGCGTGACCCCCCTACGGGGCAGCAGCGGCCTGCTGGCCGCAGCTGCCCCTGGGCAGGGGCAGGGGCGCGCCGCGACGCCGGGGGCGCAGGCGGAGCCCGCCTCGCGCGCCCCCGGCCGCCCCGCCCCGCGCGCCTCGGGCGGCGCGTGCCGCTGCCTGGGCCTGCGCGGCCTGGGCGAGCCCGGCGGCCCGCGAGCTCGAGGGGGCTCCCTGCGGCGCCCGGCGGGCCCGGGGCGCCATCGCCGAGCGGATCGGCGGCTATACCGCTGCTGCCGCGGGGCCGCCTCGGCCGGCACTGCGCGGAGCCACGCCGCCGCTCGCGCTCCACGGTGGGCCAGAGAGCTCCACTGGTGCACCTGTGGTCCCGGCAGCATTTGGGGCTTCGGCAGCTCGAGGCCCCTCGGCCGCGGGGCCGCGCGCTGTCGGCGTGTCGGCTTGGCAGCCTTGGCCCCCGATGGCGAGGCTGCCGAGGCGCAAAGGCAGTCCCGGAGGAACAGTGCCGACATCCACGTGCGGGTGTCCGTCTCGTCGTAGCGCTCCAAGATACCCTTCGAAAGGTTCGTCCAGTTCTTGCGCTGCATGACGACGCCCTTGGCCCTGCATTAAAAGAACCGAGCGTCTTGCTTCGGAATCTGGAAAAGGTCCACCAGATACTGCTCGGCAGCCGAGAACCGCCCGGCAGCTTCCTGTTCAACATCCGCAGCCAGTCTGTCCAGCACCCACTCGGGCCGAACTCGCGCAGCAGGCGAGGGCGCGACGCCATCCCCCACGCGACGACGGGGGTTGGCCGCTCTCTTCCCGGCCTTGGCCTCGGCCTCCCGGTCTGCCGAGGGGAAGGCTCGCGGCGGCGACTCGACCCAGACAAAAGCCTCTTGCCGAATACCTTCGAGCTGGATGGGCGCATAGCAGCGAAGGGGCACAGGCGCATCCGTCCTGGCTTCCGCGATCATGGGGTAGCCGTCCAGACACTGCGAGCCTATGAAGTAGTCGCACTCATGCCCGTTGCAAGAAGGGGCTCCTGGGGCGCAGGCAGCGGCACTCGCCGAGTCCAGCCAGCCCGTGCCCAGCACCTCCTCGGGTTCCATAGCCAAACCTCATCCCAAGAGAAATGGGAAGGGCTGCGCTCCTAGGTGGGTCCCGATCTTGAGGCTCTCGCAATTTGCACCTAGGGAGTCGACGCAATAAATCGAGCCCAGGATGATCCAGGAGTGAGGTCCCAATGTCACTGGGCGCATCAGGAAACGATACTGAAATTGCCCAGGATCCAGAATGGCCACGCCAACGCCAGAGGCCGTGACCAGGCCCACTCCAGAGGAAAGCGACCGCGCTGACTCACCCGCAGCGGCCGAAGACCCCAAGGTCAGACGGCGAGAACTGATCCGAGTCCACTGGTGCGCCGCTGGCTCGTTGGCCTTGGCCAGCTGCGTCTCCTGGATGCACGGCGCGTCGGGCACCCCAGGGGCCCGTTCAATCCAAGGCATCGTCGATCTCGCCGTTGGCCACGCGTTGGCGTTGAGCGCGCCTGCCGAGAACGCAGCCAGGTCATTGTCCATGGCGGAAGGCGAACGCTCGGAGAGGGCGATGGGCCGCTTCTCCGACGCAGGATTGCCAGCCGAAGTGTTTGAAACAAGTACAGAAAGGGCCTCCAAGGTCGTTCCGTGCGGAGTACTCGGGGCCGTTGCTGCACGCGCCGATGAAGAGGGCCCAGTGGATGGCGTCCGGGTCGAACGCTCCGAGGCCGACGCGCCCGAGCCGCCAGCCCACCTCGCCGAGGCCCAGCTTCGCTGCGAACCCGGGGCCCCAGCTCCCCCGCGACCTCCCCCGAATCGGTCGTGGTCCTGCTGGGCCTGCCCCTCGATCGCGTCTCCCCCGTGCGTGCCGCCGCCGTCTCCATCGTGGCCGCCCGACTCCCCCTTGGCCATCCCGCGCTGCATCCCGCGCGCCTGCTTCCAGGCGCCGGCGGCGCGTGGGTGGGAGGTCGCGGGGGAGGGGCTAGGACGGGCGGCAGCTTCAACCTCTGCGGGATACGGCCCACAGTCCTTCAGCCCGCGCGCGTCGACGAAGCTGGAGGCTCTTTCTGACGCCGGGCGGCCAGGCTGGCCAAGCATCATGTAGAGCTCGCCCACGAGGGAGGGCGTCCTGCTAAAGGCGCCGCGGAGCAGCAGCATGGGCACGGCGGATCTGCTCGTCCGCTGTCAGCCGCTCCCGGACGTTGGCCACTGGCTTCGCGGGCGACTGGCCAGCTGGCTCAGCCGCTGGCTGCGAGCCCGCAGCCGTGGCCCACCAGCGCCTGCATGGCCGCCGCCTGGGGCTGGGTCTCCTTCGTTGGTCTTCCTCTTCTTGTCCTCGAGGCGAGCCATGTGCTGGCGCTGCCCCTCCATGGCGGCCTGCGCCTTCTCCGAGGCGCCCTTGAAGGTGCTGGTGATGGCGGCTTGAATCTCCTGATCGGCTGCCTGCTTCCGCTGCTCCAGTTCCTCGCGATCTTGGGCCTCCAAGTCGCAGCCGTCCAGCACGTCGCCCGTGCCGGGGGAAAGCGTCCGCTGTGAAGATCTGATACAGCTGAATCGAGCCCTGCACCAGTTCGCGAATACTGATGGTAGGTGGCCCCGCTGCCACGGGGGTGGCGCCGACTTGGATTTCAGCCAACGCCTGCTGCACCTCCGCGTCGGCCTCCTGCAACTGGTGCTGAAGCTCCGCGACGCTGCCGACCAGTTCCTCGACCCCTTTTGCGCCACTTGTCCAGCTTGTCCAGCTCAGCACTGGGCTTCTTCTCCAAGGCGGCCTGGCCCTGCTCAGCGCGCTGCCACTTCTGTCGCGCCGTCGGCGCCTGGGGGGGGGCGCTGGTGCCCTCGCTGCCAGTGCCTCGTAGCGCTTGGCGCACCCTGCGTCGCCAGCCTCCTCGGCCAAGGTCGCCAGCTCCTTGCTTTTGCCGAGGGGCAGGATGGCCGCGGGCCCAGGCTGAAGGGCCACCTGGTCGGACGTGCCGAGGTCGGTGCCCTTGCCGCGTCCTCCTCCGCGGCCTCCCCGCCCGAGGTTGCCACCTTTTCCCTTCTCCTCGGGCGCCTTTGGCTCCGTCGATCTCGGCCGTGCTGCGCCTGGGGGAGCTTCCACGGCGCTTGCAGAGCAGCGAGCCTTCGGGATTCTTGCTGCAGCCGGAGGCGGCGCAAGCCACCGTGTTGGCCGTTGTCGGCCTTGGCACTCTGCGCGCACCAAGCTCCGTCGTCGTTGGCAGGGGCAGAGCTCCACGACGCTGGCCATGCGCAGCTGCCTCCCCCGCCTCCTGCGCCGCTCGACCCGGGGAGCAGTGGCAGTTCTGCGAGCAGCACCGCCCGCCGAGCCATCGCCCTGAGCCGGGCGTCGCCCCGACAGGAGCTCACGGAAACAGTGCCGTCTCGTGCCGCTGGCCCGCAGCAGCAGTGTGCCGTTCGGAAGTTGGCTGTTGCAAGCTCAGGCCTCCCGCCCGAGCCAGAACGGCTGGGTGAGAGGAGGAGGAGGAGGAGGAGGAGGAGGAGGCGGAGGAGGAGGAGGCGGAGGAGGTGGAGGCGGAGGAGGAGGAGGCGGAGGAAGAACGCGAGCAGGAGGGCCAGAGACCCCTTTGGATGCCTCTCGGATTCTCTTTGGTCTGTTGGGACTTCTTCGGGTTCTCTTGGGAGCCCCTTGGGGTTCCTCTTGGGGGCTTCTTGGTGGCTTCTTCGGCACCTCTTGGGACCATTGTGCAAGCAACCTCTGTCGCTCCGCTTGAATTCCAAACTTTGTGGAATCAGCTTCGTGGCGCGAAGCGCGAAAAACGAAATCTCGGATCCTGAGGAGACGCTCATTCGCCCCTTCTTCCTCGCCCTCGCCCGTCCCCCTTTTTTATCCCGCTCCCTCCTGCCCTCCCCCTGTCCCCTTACCTCCACGCGTCCCTCCTATCTTGCCCTCCTCCCCCCTCCTCGTTGTCTTCTCGGACGGCTGCGTCCTCCCGCTTGCGGTGGGTGCGCTGACGGACCCGTGTGCCCCGCTCCCCCGCTCCGGACCCTGGAGGCCGCCCCGTTTGATGAGGGCGGCGGCGGTGCCCACGGCCAATTCCACGATTAGATTTCCACCAGCTTCCTGACCCTGCGTTCGTAATCAAGTTGTTTTTTTTGTTTTTTTTGTGTGTGTGTGTGTTTTGTTCTGATTTTTCGGTTAAACAACAGTATACGTATATATAACAAATACATTATGCCTCCTGTTTTTTGGGGGGCTCTTTGCTTATCCAAGGCCGTAATCGCATGTCCTTCACCACGTCTTCCTCCAGGGGACACGAGGGGGACGTAGCAAAACAAGAGTCAACTGCAGGCATCCTGCGGGAAGGATGGGGCGGGTAGCCGCGACACGGAGGAGCAGCACGAGGGGGGCGCCGAGGGAGGGACAGGCCGCGCCGTCAGAGCAGTACCGCGCCTACGTCCACTGCAAGCTCGACTCGTGCAAGGCCCAGGCGCGGGGTCTTGTTTGTTTTTTACATACAAGATGGAAGAAAAGGCGCGGGGTCTTCTCTGTTGTGGTTCTGGTCATCCTCGTCTTGGCCTCATCGCCTTGCCCCAAACGGGGGGTCGAAACGCCGCCTTAGTGCTCAACTCTGCTCGCCCCCCCAAGCGCTCGTTCGCCTCTTCCCGCTCCCCGCGCTCTGGCTTCCCCCAGTCCTGGCATCATCCGTCCTGGCTTCCCGCTACACATCCGCCTTCGTCTGCGTACTGCTTCGTATGCCTGTGTTCCAGCTCCCTGTGCAACTGCTTCCATCGCTACATCACCCCCCAGCCCCCCCCCCGTCCTCTCTGACAACAGACTCGCATCCCGAAACTGCCCCCCCCATCCTCTCTGACAACAGACTGCGCATCCCGAAACTGCGCTGCTTACTATGAACCTCTCTTACCTTGCTCTCGCCCTCCCCACTCTCCCTCCCCCTCCCCCTCCCCTTCCTCCTCCTTTTCACCCTCGTCGCCGTCGTTATGATTATTGTTAGTATGCTCCTCCTCCTCCTTCTCTCCTCATCTTCATCCACTTCGTCCTTCTCCTGCTGTTGAGTCCGCGGCCCTGGCAATCCAATCTTGGGACAAGTATCCTCTGGGGTGAGGCTTGTCGCCCGAAGGTCCCAAACATGCCATCGAGGAGGTGTACATCCTCCTCCTCTTCTTCTCTCCCACGTGATCACACGTTCACCATCCTGCGCAAAACGCTCCAGAGACTCACGCCCGTTCGCAAATGCACGGCTCTCATGTGCTGCATTCTCCTCTTTCTGGTGCCAGTGTCTTACGTCAGTTTGTTTTGTGAATAACTCCTCCTTTCGCACTCCCAGGCGTGTCGGTAGGGCGGGTTGGGCATTTCGCCTGAGACTTCCATTTCTGAGATTGAAGTTTCTCTTGAAATTCGCAACAGTTTCGTGTATGGAGGCCGACTGGTTTAAACAAGTGTGATTATCGCCATCGCGCCGCGCACATTCGTCTTGTTTTTTGTGCAGCCTCAAGAACGGAGGGCGGCGTGTTGTCAAACGTTGCTTTCGCCTTAGCGCTGTGCGCATTTGTCTTAAACGTGTCCAGCAGTTGCAAGGATGGAGGGCGGCTGAATTGCAAAACGTGGCTCTCGTCTTAGTGCTGCGCGCATTCGTATTAAAAGTCTGCAGCTGCTTCAAGGATGGCGGGCGAATGTTGCTCTCGCTTTAGCGCCGCTCGCATTCGTCTTACATGTTTGCAGTTGTTTCAAGGATGGAGGGCGGCTGACTTTCAACATGCAGCTCTTTTAAGAATGCAGATGGTTGAAGTCCCAGGAATGGTGTTCTGGCGAGGTGTAGGATGGGCAGGTCGCAACAGACTCGTACACTTGTGGTGTTGATGTCCCAGGATCGCGGCGTTGAACTTCCAGGAATAGCGTTCTGGCACCATTGAGCATCCTCAGACGCTTGTCTTTCAAGTTGGTTTTCCCGCAATGGAAATCTGTTATTGTGGGGCCTATGAGGGGGGAGATACGGTTCCACTTGTTGAGTATTGTCCTCCTCCTCCTCCTCCTGCTGCTTCTCCACCTCCTTCCGGATGTTTCCACTTCGTGAGCACAGATGATCGTTATCCTCCTCCCTTTTCCTGCTTCACCAGACGTTTCCGCTTAGAGAATATGCATTCTCCTCATCCCCACCGGACGTTTCCATTGAGTGCTTTCACATTGCCGATATCTTTGTTTGCTCAGGGGCGAAGAGAGGGGGGGGGCGCCCCCCCCCTTCGCTGCCCGCGCCGAGGGGCTGCGAGGAAGGGGGGGCGACGGGCCGCGGTGGCCGCGCTCACCTTGCGATTTGATTTTTCTCGGGTTTCTCTGCTGTCTTTTGCGCTTCGCATCCATTTGCTTGGCGGTGGCGATGGCAGGCGAATGTGGATTGGCCGCCATAGGGAGTACGTTGCCGGTCGACGCGCGCGCTCGCTTCTGGTGTTTCGTCAGGGAGGTAGGCATCGAGGACGTCGACGACCTGGCATTTTTCTTTACCACGGTGGAGGCAGCCGCGGCCTCGGGACAGGAGGAGGCGTGGCGGCGAGCTCGGCAGCTCGCGGGGCATCCGCGAGTGGCAGCGTGGCACAGGGTGGCCCGCGAGGCGCAGTCAGCGCCGCCCGCGCGCAAGGCGGACGCTCCGCCACGCGCGCTGGCGATGGCCCTCCCTGGCTTGCGCCCGCCAAGAGGGGGGCGCGGCGTGCAGCGCGCGGCGGCGAGCGCCTCCGGCACAGAGGAGGCGGACGCCGCGCAGCGCGCCAGCGCGGCCGGGGCAGCGGTGCAGCTGTCCGCGTCCTGGGGCCCAGCGCACGGCTTGGCGCGGGGGCTCCCCGAGGGCCAGGCGCAGCGCTTGTGCGGACCCGGGTCCGCGGCGGCGAAGAGGCTGGCGCGCTTCGCGAGCGCGGGGGTCCGGGACGCGCTGCGCGTCTGGGCGAGATGGGAGGCGTGGGCCCGAGCACGGCAGCTCGAGCCCCTCTCCGCGGAGGCTGCTGGCAGCACACTGATGGTGGACGAGTTCATATGTCATATGTGCGGTGAACAAGCCTCCGGGGTGCGCGTGTGGAATCGGTTGAAGTGGCTGCAGAAGTATCTCGGTGCGCCGTTCGCGCTCGAAGACGCGATGAAGCCAGACGCGCGGCCCGCGAGCAAAGCGGGGGGAGAGTTGCGGCAAGCGACCGTGCTCGAGCCGTGCATGGTATCGTTCCTGCATCAGATACTTGCCGCACAGGCAGCGCAGCGCGGTTGGCTCGAGGTTCCCGCCGCTGCAGCGATCGCGCTGTGCCACGGGTGGCTGAGATTCCAGCATTTGTCACGGTCGTACCCGATTGAAAGGACGAGAGCGCTGGCCTGGTTCAGATGTTACCGCGGAAAGCGCGGCGGATGTTTCGATTGGTGCCTGGTGCGGACCGCGGAGCCGCGTTGCGCAGCGGATGTGCTCTGGGACGCGTGGCATAAGCGCGCAGGGGCTGCCGGCGAAGGCGCCCCCCTGCCAAGGGGCCTCGCGGCGCACGAGGATACGGGGCAGCTCTGGCGTCTCGCGCACTTCTCAAAGTTTCTGCAGTCTGAGATCGGCCTTTGTCTGAATTCACCGCTCGAGAGGAAACTGATCACGTCGTACAGCCTGAGGCGTTTCATGCCGACGTTGGCGGAAAGCGTGCAGCTTCCGTGGACAGAGCGCGTTGTTGGCGGGGGCTGGACGCCCCGCGATGGTGGCGGAAGCACCGGCGCCCCGAACATGATGCCGTTGCGATACGCTGGAACCAGACGTGAGCAGCAGGGTTTCGTCCGTCTGTACATGCACGAAGTGTTTCACGAGGCCGTGGCCAGCTTGCCAGCCCCCCTGCGATTCGAAGGGGTCAAAGCTTGGTGGGATACGCCAGCCGCGCAGGAGGTCGCAGCGGGCGCGCGGCGCCGCGCGATGCAGCTGCTGGCGGCACAGGGCGCGCCCGAGCCCGCGAAGTTTCTGCCGCCGGCGGTAAAGAAAGAGCTGGCGCGCCGGCGGTTTGGCGCGTTCACCGCGTCCAATTACGGGGAGCAGAGCGCAGCGCTGAGGCGACAGTTCCGCAGCCGGGGCCGCCGCGCTGCCCAGCCGCCGCAGCGGCCGCGGCGGGCGCAGCGCCTGCGCGGGATCGCTGGTAAACGCGCGCTAGAGGAAGGCGAGATCGGCAGCGATGAGGAAAGAGACAGCCAGTCATCCGCAGCGTTGCCCGTCGAGCGGGCAAAGCCGGCAGCACAGCCGAGTGCCGGGGAGCTTGCGGGAGCAGCGGCGCCAGCGGTTGGAGCTGCCCCTGCGGCAGCAGCAGCGCAGGCGCAGGCAGCGCCAACGTCACCCCTTGGGGGCGATGTTGTTGCAGCAGCAGCGCAGGCGGGCGCATGCGGCGCCAGGGGCTTTGTAATTCGCGCGGAGCGTTTCTTTGCCGCGCAGGCGCAGGCAGCGTCACCGTCGCGGGCGTATGTGCAGGCAGCTGCAGCAGCAGCGCGAGCGCATGCAGCGCCAACGTCAGCCCTTGGGGGCGACGTTGTTGCAGCAGCATCAGCGCAGGCGGGCGCACGCAGCGCCAGGGGTCGTCGTGCGCGGAGCGCTTCTTTACCGCGCAGGCGCAGGCAGCGTCACCGTCGCGGGCGTATGTGCAGCCCGCTGCAGCAACAACAGCGGTGCAGGCGCACGCAGCGCCGGGGGGGAGCGTAATGTGCGCATGTGCAGCGCCGCCGTTTCGTTCAGGCGCACTCCGCGCCATCATCGGCCGTGGGAGACACGGTAGCGGGCGCCCCGCAGGCCGGCGCAAATAGCGCCCGAAGCCGCGTCATGCGAGCAAAGCGTTCGGTCGCTGTGCAGGCGCACCCAGCGCCACCGTCGCAGCCAGCCAGACTGAACCCCGCATCAGCAGCGGTCTTCTCGCCAGCGCCGTTGCATGGCGAGCGCGCGCGTCGCTTGTGCGCTTTGCCCAAGGTTTGCGACGGGGCAACGATCGGCATTCCCGCCGAGCTAGGCTGGATTGTCACGAATGAGCGTCATCACGTCGCCATTGAAGTCAGCGGCTCTCCGCATATCAGATCACGCAAGCGACGAAAGGCGGAGAAGACTTCTGTCTTAGTCAACGGGAAGCAGCTGACGAACGCGTGCGACGTCACGTTGGCTTCCCCCACGTGGGTCGGAAGATTGACCGACGGTGATCTGGTATGCCGCAGGTGCCAGAATCGCGCGGCGTTCCTGGCCCGAGCAGCCCATGAGCTGGAACATGCGGCGTGCCAGCCGTCGGTACTGGCGGCCCGGGATGCCGTGCTTGCGATAGCCGCGCGGGCGCAGGGCCGTACGCACTAGCATTGCAGCGCGGCCATGTCCGCGCGGTCGCTTTTCGCGCGTATATTGCACCAGCGCGACCCACGCGAGCGGAAATCGTAGAGTTGTCGTGCGTGCGCGGGTGCTGCATCAGCAGCCTGCGCTGGGGCCGCGCAAGCGCAGTATGA